GGTGATGTGAAATAACAGTTGTATAAGGGTTTTATTTAATATATAACTGCACCAGTGAGTAATAATTCTTAAAATTAATCATCACAGTATATTATAGACCAACATTTTTGAACAAGTATTTTACCGTACCCCTAAATTCGAATACGCGCTAGTAGTGATGTCTGTTGCTGTTTACTCATGAGTAGTTTGGCTAACTGAAATCGGATTGAAAATATGTACTTTAACTGACTATCATTACTATATACATATATATGTATATATATATATATATATATATACACATATATATATATATATATGTTTAGACTGCATTGGAATTCTCTCGATACCAAGTTTCATGTGGAGCTCGAGGAAGCTGGCCGTTGTCGTACAATCTAACTCTTGCTGTTGGTTTAAAATCATTGCTGTCGTTTTAGTGAGAGAAAATGCAGTAGTTATAGGTCTGTGATACAGCAGAGACGATTTTTGATTCAGTATGAGAATTGAAATTATACCAAAAGAAATATTCGATTATGAAATTACTGTCTACCACAGTGCCCGGATTCCATTTTTGTGTCAATTAATAAAACGAATATTAAAACTTTTGTCTAGTACGCATAGCTTTGTATTCATACAGCAGTCGACCATCTTTAGCTTGATTGGACTGTAACATCCTTCTCTGACATTTCTTGGTGAATGTTGGTAGGTAAATGATTATTATTGAAAATCTCCTGAAAAACTCCTTCAACCAATAAGAGCTGAAAACCAAACATGGATAATATCTTATCAAAATATTGAATATTCCATAGCCAAATGTAGAACAACACATTTAAACCAACAATATTATTTTCAATCAGATTTCATCAAGCTTAACTCTAATATATACAACTTTACAAATAAATATTCAAATATAAACCAGTCACGGTGTTTTGTCAGTAAGATAATAAGACTTTGCATATCAGTTGTGCAATTATTCATAATAATATTAATGACAATGATAATAATGATTCTGTCAATAACAAGTATGAAAAAGTGAGGTGATCTGTGATAACAAGAATAGCGAAAAACAGCATGATTAAACAGAAAAATGTTCAGGTAGAAGTAGTCGATAAATTCCATTGGGGGTAAAATTTATTTTGATAAAGTCTCACTGTATTATACAGTAATATTTACTGACGACTTTTCGAGCACAATTTATCGCTCATAATCATATCAAGTAGTCGATAAAAGCTAAGAAAAACAAATGGACCGATTAAGTCAAGCTCGATTGTAGCGGAGTGAATAGAACATGTTGAAATTGTTGGCCTGCTTAAACCGTGGACTACCAAAATTTTCATCATCTATATTGCATCTAATTTCTCGTATTTACTTTGTTGTAGTCATTCACTTATGTGTCCAAATCATATTGTAACAACAGAAGACAAGGGCCAGGCAACAGATCGTTTATTAAGGAGAATCAACACATATTTATAGATTTTAATGTGCATTATTGTAGATTATTGTTAGTAGAAAATAGAGTCTTTTGATTGGTTGTTTTTCACAGAAAGATAACGTTGCATCTCTTTGTGGCTGTGTCAGATTATCCATATGCTAACTGTATCCTCCTACACAAAGATTTGTTCTCATTTTCTCATCACCAATATTGGGGACATAAACATTGACGTCAATTACTGTCTACCAACTTTGGCTAGCAGCCAGCTCTCACCACAATATTTACTCTCGCGATTATTTAAAAAGCTTTCATCCGGCTGATTTACAAGTTTCTAATAAACTTAATAATGAGTATTACTGTGTGGCAACGAGCCTTGAAGCGTGCCCCAATGCATCAGATGACAGTTCCTGAGATTATGAGCGCCAATTGCAAGTCGTTATCCAACAAGGTTAATTACTTGCGTGCTTTATTATCTTCAAGTGTTTATTGTAATACAGGTGTAATAACGCTTTAGGAAACCTGGTTCCACGATTCAAATGATGACAGCTTTTTTCCCCTAAATAGTTACACTATATACAGACAAGACCGACACAGTTCAAGGATGAGGCGAGGCGATCATGTCGCCACTTTTATCAATTCAAAGTGGTCTACTACCAACATTGTCTGCTCTAAATTCTCAAGTGATAATATTGACTGTATAACTGTTAAATGTCGACCTAAGCACCTGTCTGAGTACGATTTCATTTGTATCACGAACATTTATGTCACACCTTGTTTTAGTCCCTCAGAACTATCCATGTTTGTTGATGAATTCACCTCCTCTTTTGGAAACGCACTTTCTATAGTGACTGGTGATTTTAGTTCTTGTGATTGCAGTTTTCTTACAGTGCTAGGTCATGAAAATGTTGTTTTAAATTTCGGACTCGACTGGATACTTCGCTTCATGTTGCATTTGTAAATGAATCCGGAATATACGAATCTCATAAAAGAGCCTACTATTTAACTCTGATCATTGTATTGTACGGGTTCTACCCAAAATTTATGAAAAATTACATAAAAGAACCTTGTCACGCCTGTTCAAGAAAATTGTACATAGACGTTACTCTAAGGAGAATGTTCAGAATCTTAGGAGCATGCTCAAAGACACAAGGTGAAATTTGTTTGATGAAGACTCTCTTGATAACAATATCTCAAATATTACATGTTATCTCATATTATGTTTTGACACCTGCTGTCCCATAGAAAAGCTTTTCATTAGATTTGACCGTTTCTCCTCTCCTCAACTTAAAAAGCTTCGCAGGGAAAACGAAAAGTTATATAAAATGAAGCATAACATTGGTGTGAAAAAAATTAACATCCTAATCAAGTCTGAAATGCACAGGTTGAATTCAATATACAATCAGAAGTTCATATCCAATAAAAAAGCTTCTAATATTTGTAGACTTTTCAAAGAAATTACTGGTGGTAAGCAGATGAACAGTATTCTTTATTCATTTGATGTATGTACCCTAAACAAGTTTTTTATATATTCTACCACAAACGCCATCCCTTCTAGTGTCACAAGTGTTAATATAAGCTACTTTCTTGGTTTCAATACAAATGACTTCCTAAAATGTCTCTAAATGCTGGACTCTTTTCGTAGCCTAGATCCAAATGGTGTACCCAGTGTTATTCTTAAAGAATGTGCAGATATCCTATGGTATTCCCTCACTGAACTATTTAATGAATCTTTTTCCAGAAATGTGCCAGCCGATTGGAAAGGCATTAAAATTGTACCCATATTTAAGTCATCTAATGGAACATGTGTCAAATTGAGACCTGTCGCTATAACCTCTCTTTTTTGGAAAACTATGGAAAAGTTAATTGGTGGATGGTGACTAGCAGTGGAAGCCAGGATACGCATTTCGTCCTATTTGGGGCTCCTCATCCGGATGTACCTGCACTCCACAGCGAGTGATGTTTCCATCGAGGCTCAAACCCACTGCCCATCCACCAGTCAACTCCTGATTACATGCCCAGACATAGTTGAAGCATCTGTACAAGAAGCCGACATGTCAACCTGAGACCGAGCACTTCGGTCCAATCAATCGAAGGGAAAATCTAAAATTCGGTTAAATATGGAAACGTTGCTTTTACTTATTCTTGAACCTTCATCTAAAGGCTTGAACGATTCCAAACAATTTGTCTACCAGCATAGTAGAATTACTTTAGGTGCAGTTGCGATCTTGTATCATAATGTCGTCTCTAGTTTAGACAAAGAGGGCTAAACTTGTTTGCTGCACCTTCCTAGATTACACATCTGCTTTTGACTCAGTACATAAGAATGCTTTGTTTAATAAGCTTGCTGAAACTCAAACTGAGTGTTGAGTTGTCAACTGGCCGCATTCTTATTTCTCAGGAAGAAAGCAGCATACTATGTGGCAGGGGAAATCGTCCAGTGCATTGCTTACTGAGGCTGATGTCCCTCAAGGCGCTATTCTTTCTCCATTTCTGTTTTCTTTCTTATTGCATGACTTGCCTCATTCCAATGGAATGAACTTTGTAAACTTTCTTCTACAGAAAGTTAAATGAAGCTGTTAAATGACCGTTGTAAAAGTGATGATATTGATAGAGAAATTAGGTCTGACGTTAAGTTTCTTGAACTGACTCTTTCTTATGATATAATCTGGTCTTCCCACATCTTAACGATTTCTGAAAAATTATTCCGTCAGACTTTTTACATCAAGAAGTTAAGGCACTCGGACATAACTCAACCCTCATCTTGCAGTTCGTCAATGCTTGCATCTTACCTATTCCTCTATATTGTTCACCCTTATTCTTTCCTGGGTTGCTTGAAAAGGATTATGTCATACTTCATAGGACTCTGAAGACTGTGAGTAGGGCGAGTGGTATCCCATTGGGCCATATCGTCGACATCGTCATTGATAGGCACTTGATTTCATGTTACAAATTTGCTAAAGGAATGTTGTCAGACTGTGAGCATCCGCTTTACCCGCAGCTCCAACCTTGTGTCTCCTAAGATAAAGCAAGAAGTCCTTTCAGAAGACTTTATACACGTACGTCTACGTATGAAAATTCCAATATACCATATTTGGCACGTACTTTATGTGATGAAAATAGTGTCAGGCACGAACTAACTAACCTTACTACTACCCTTATAATATCAAGCTTTACTTTTATTATTCTTATTTATAGTCCTCTCATTTTGTTTTGTTTATTTTCTTATAAGTGCAAACATCATTTAAGCTCTGCTTTTTTGTTTTTCCCTTCACCATACTATATCAGGAGAGCATTAAATTCAGTACTCTATAATATGGTAAAAATTTCCATACTATGTCGAAAGTATTGTTTGAAACAAACCCACTGTTATTATTATAGTTATTATTCTCATTTTGGTACTTTGCACAATTTTGGCTTTATTCCTACTGTAAAAGTGGACAAATTCCGGTGGTTAATTTGATTTATATTTTGAGTGAACTAGATGCAATGTTGTGACGAATGCTGAGAATTCCATGCTGTATCACAAGCACTGTTTTTTGCTCTGCTCGTAAGACATTTATCAACACGTAACTAAGGAAGTGTGTGTATTGCCCTGTGAATATGATTTTTCCATAGACACTTTTCGCAAGTGACCTATCTTCTTACCTATTTAGCCAAACGTTCAGAAAATGTAGTTTACTATCCTGCTCCTCCTCACAAGTAAAAGTAAGCAAAGGGTGGATATTGTCGAATTTCACCAATAATTCATCTATGTTTGCATTCCCATCAACTAAGATAAATGTATCATCGACATAGCCGTAATACATATCCAACTCCTTGATAACATCTCCCAATCTCCCGTTTTCAAGTTTAGCAAGGATGCAGTCAGCTAATGTTGGGCCTAATGATGAACCCATAGCTATTCCATCTACTTGTCGGTGATATGAATTATTGAAGACAAAATACACATTCATTGTGCATTTAAGGAGTAATTCTTTGAGGCCACACAAAGGAATTTCTAAGTCCATTTGCCTTTCAGTGATTTCTTGACAAATATAATCTACCGTTTCTATAAGTGGTACATTTGTGATGTACATTCATGGATAACATTCGTTCATCCCTCACATTCATCTCGGATATTTTAGATTTAAAGTCAAAGACACAACTAATTGTATGTCGCACTATTTCTTTGTGTAAAAGTCCCAGAATCTTCATTAACCGAAATTGTGAACATACCGGTCCGAAACTGACAAAAATTTCTTTTCAAGCTTTTGGCTTTCAAGAGGTTTAACGAGACTAATACTTTTTTATCCCTTCTGTTCACAGTTACGTTCTAACATATTCCAAAAACATCAGTTGCGATTCCTGAGGTAAATCACCAAGTGAAAAGTGTCTTTGTGATATGTTCCCTTCGAAATCACTTATGAGATTCTTGACAGAGTTAATCTGATTAAGGGAATGTCTTTTTAAACTTTTAGAATGGTGACAAATCATCATTCGTCTTAACGACCGCCAAAATAGTTCGGGATAACGTTCAGTTTCTTTACATTTAAAAAAATTCCAACAATGTTTTCGCTACATTTAACCTTGCACTAAGTTTCAGGAACTCATTGAGTGCCTTAAATGCAACAGGATCCCCACGAGATTTTGAAATATTAAATAAATTCCCATAGTAAAATATAGAACAACATATTTAAATAAACAATATTATTTTCAATTAGATCTCATCAGGTTTAACTCTGATGTACATAACTACAAATAAATATTCAAATGTAAATATATCTTATCATCATTTAACTTCACAGTGTGTGTGTAAATCGGTTGCTTTTAACCTCTGGATTAAAATCATTTTCTGGCTGCTAGTTGACTGTGGATACTACATTATTCTATCTGTTTTATCATTCAATCGATTCACAAAATTTAGCAAAATGTTCCACTCAAATTCACAGTTCGACCGAAAAGCGTAGGTCAGTGACAGTTATTTACAATATTGAAAAATGAATGTACCATGTTTTATAGACTGTATTATTCATCATTGATACGTGAAAACCATAATTAACTGTGTGACGTCACACTTAAGTGGTGATTATTTAGCCTATATATATATATATACATATATATGTGTATTTGTCCTAGAAATATTTAGTTAATACCTCTCTCTCTCTTCATATATATATATATATATATATATATATATATAAAGAGAGAGAGAGGTATTAACTAAATATTTTTAGGACAAATAAAATAGTATACGCGTATTGCTACGTTAGCTGTTCAATATAAATTTTAGGCATACGGTAATTACGGTTAGAAATGCGTGGAATTTTAATCTCACTGAAATCTGATTAATTTATTGAGGCTAAGTAAAAAATAAAATAAAATAAACTATTTTTAACGAAAGAACAGTAAGTTTTTCTAGCCTGTATATTCATTCTTCCGGCGCTTTTGATCAAGAAACAGTGGCATATGGCTTCTTCTGATGCACATTTCATCATATAAGAATTTGTTGTCAGCCCTTTCACTCCTCACTAATGTTTCATACATTGTCGATGTTGAGAAAAACTGTGTCGTAAGATACTGTTCCATCAGTTTGTATGAATAAACAGCACCGAGACTTTTTGCTTAACTATCCGTTGAGTTGTTTTCCTAACATACCGAATTTATGCTGAAAACCATCATTTTCCATAGACTGCCGTATTAGTGAATGCTTTTTATAGTTCTCAGTGATATAACACTGCTTAATACTCATACTCAACATATTGGAAAGTATAGAATGACTGCGGAGTATGGAGAATATCAGAAAGCTTTGAAGGTTCACCTTACCTATGATCAATTTTCAGTTGAACCAATAGTGAATGTTATCTGTCATTCGCCTCTAGAAAGGTAAGATATTTATCTGCTGAAATCGACTAGAAATTCCGAAGAAATTTACTTTGATGCTTATATTTTTATTTTTACTTTATACTGAAATGGTGATGTTAAGATAAGTAGACTGACAGGAAGTCCTATCATACAGACTTATTTTTATATTACCCTCATGATTATAAGGCTAATCATACAAAACCAATATTAATGGCTTCACTTTCAAGCTATTTAAGTTATCCTTGGTTATCTGTTAGAATGAATGGTGTTCACCAATGCTAATCAGAGGACTGATTGATCGAAATCTAACAGTCAAGTTTGTGGAGTGGTCATTAAGTTATGTTATACTTCATTACTGTATGCTGTGATGATTAGTTCGGTTATTCGACAAAACTACTCTTTGTAGTAGCCCGTGTATTAATTGTTCCCTTCTGAATGTAATAATTTTATATAAAGGTTATCGTTAAAGAGCTGTTAAAAATACTGCCATTTTTTCTATGAAAACACAAATTATTCTAGTTACAAAGTAAGGTCCTGGGTTCGAGACCCGCTGGGTGTATCTGCCGATGAGTCCAAAACTAGGAAGAGACAGTTGTCCAGTACTCCTTGGTTTCCAACGGTTCTCTAACTGATATCAGTCTGCGGTGAAACTTGAAATGCAAATCAAGTCTCTACGAATGCTTTTCCTAGACGTCCCCTTACTATTCACAAGCATTCCCTTGTTAGAGATAATATGCTTCATATGCAACCACATCAAAACCAACAACATAAAATTTCCTCTTCCTATCAACTACCTGAAAGATCTAATTCTCAGATGTACGTTTAATGTCCAATCTAAATTCATTGAGCAATTCTACGAACAGAAAGATGATGTAGCTATGGGGTCCACTCCTAGCTGACTGATTCGTAACGAGTTTTGAAAAGAACACCCTACATCCCTTGATCAGCCAACTACACCTCTAAAAGAAATACGCGGAGGATACATTTATAATTTGTGATGGAAATTTGATTTAGACTGTTTCCTCGAAACTTTCAACGTGGCACACTCATCAATAAAATTCACCCTAGAAAGTGAATCAAACATGCCGTTTCCATTCCTGGATGTACTACTTACTACTTACTATAAGACAAGACTGTTCGATCCAAATATCAATATACTGCAAACCAACATGAACTGAACAGTTTATCAAATTCCAGAGCATCGTCCCACTGATCTGAAAACAAAACTTAGTACGTACAGTATCGTCAAGGATTAGAAAAATTTGTTCGGAAGATAAGATAAATAATGAATTAAAATCATTACGTGAAACCGCACCCAGATTTATCGAAAAAAACATGAAAGAAAACCTCATTCGCGGAAAATTGCAACTGTTCCGAATGAAATCCTCTTTACGAGCCTAAAATTTAAATGTGTGGAGTCTGCAGTAAATCCGTACAGTTTTTCCAAAATATCAAAAATTGACACATTGCACGTAATTTTCGTTTAATCAGCTTCTTTGTCAAATAATAATCATAATAAATTTAGCTCTCTTACGCAAATATAATCGTGCTACCCTTTACTTCGTCTTCTCACTGTTCACACTGTTCTGTTGCCCCATTAGTACCCGTGTTGCATTCTTTGGAGTTTGCAGTAACATCTCATCCTCGTTATAAGACTATTATGTGCAAGTGCGACTTGCAGCATTGGTTCGTTGTAATCCGGCAATACTGTCCAAACTGATGTCTATCGAAGATAGGTGGTTGATTTCACATCGAGAAAGGGGGCCGGCTATATTATTTGCATCTCTTTTCACATACTGAATATCGGTCGAAAACTTTGAAATGTAATCCAGTTGCCTAGCTTCTTTTAGTGAGTGTTTATCTGGAGATGTGATAAAGGCATAGCAAAGTGGTTTATGGTCAGTAAAGATTATGAAATGTCGACCTTGTAACAACAAACTGAAATACCCCACTACTAGATAGATGGTTAACAGTTCTCTGCCAAAAGGGGTATAATTAGCTTGGGTTGATTCTTACTCCTTGGAAAAGAAAGCAAGTAAAGTGACATCGTTGTCTAACTTCTGCTGTAGGACTGCCACCTGTGTTGCATCCGTACATAGGATAAGGGATGCTTTAGGGTTGGTGTGAAACATTAGATAGTTCGTCTTTAGCGTTACAAAAGGAGTTTTTCGTTTCCATGGTTCAACGGAACTTCTCTGGACTGCATTTAATGAGATCCGTCGATGGTTGTAGTATGGAGGCAAATGATGGGATTAAACGTCGATAAAAACTGAACATCCCGAGAAAACGTCAAAGTTTTTACAAAGAGTCCGGTTTCGTGAGGTTCTTAATAGTTTCTATCTTCTTTCTCTTCAGTAGAACAGAACCTTTAGTTGTTATACTATAAATAAAGCTCAGAAAACGCACCTTTTGAGATTGATGATAACGCCAAATTGTTCGTAGCGCTGAAATAGGGCACTTAAGTGGTCTATGTGTTCTTCCATAGACGCGCTGGCTCTCAGGACGTCATCAGTATATACCAAGAAAAAATCTAGACTTTGCGTAACCTGATCTATAAACCGTTGGAATTACTGAGCAGTATTCTTCAAGCCGATAGTCTTCCTCAGATATTCAAACAAGCCAGAAGTTGTTATGATGGATGCCGTTTTAATGTCCTCAGAGGCAACTGGTATCTGGTGTTAAGCCTTGACTAAGCTGACTTTAGAGAATATAGTTTTTCCATGCAAAGTAGGCCGGGCTATGCAGTTGGAGAGCTGGATAACGGTCACGGGTAGTAACATTATTCAAAGCACTATAATCACCGCATGGTAGCCAATCATGATTAGCTTTAGGTATCATGTGCTAAGGCGAGGACCAGTGAATGTTGGGATGTCTAATGGTACCTAGTTGCATCATGTGTTCAAATTCTGCCTTAACTGCTGTTAACTTGTCAGGCAGTAGTCTGCGAGGATGGGTTGACCTGTTGGAGCGGTTTTATGAAAGATTCAGTGTTCAATCAAGCAGTTTCTTCATCTGGCTACTGCCTGTAATTCACTTTTCTCTGCGACCAATCGACTATGGGACAAAACAGTTTTAAGAACTTTTCACGTTTACTAATTTAAAATGTACATCTTATTACTTGAGTTCCCATAAGTACAATCCAGGTGTAGTGTTTAAAAAGCTTCTTTAGTACCTTCTTTTAGTAAAACTTGCTGCCTATAAAGTTAATAAGCAGTTCCAAATGACTATAAATTTGTAGGTATGTAGAATATTCTTTCGTTGTTTTTTGATACCATTCAGTGTCGAGCATATGATACACTGTGATATGAACATTTTAGGTTTCTAGAGTAAACTGTGTCTAAAGAACATGTCGAGCCGGAAAGTCTTTATATTATTTATGCCTACTACTACGAGTTAATTCATGATATATTCTTCTGAAGACTGAACAATTAACTAAATTTATTCGGAGCAAACCATCTCAATTATGGATTTCTGGAAAATCCGCTTGACGTTTTGCAGGCCTATCTGGATTTTCTAGAAACTATTCACAGTAACTGTGTTCCCTGGCCTTACATTTATTATACAGTATTATATCAATGAAGAGTTTTAAGTTGCTAAGACGGCCATGATTATTTATTGGAGATGTTTGACAAGAGCAATAAGCTTCCCTAAAACCTCCAAACACCCGATATTTTGATGAAAATGATCTTACAGTGAACAAATCTTTAAAGTGTTATCTCTACTAATGTC